TGGGAGCGTATGAGTGAGTGTCATGTGGTAAAAACAGTGGGTAAAAAAAAAACACTGGGAACACAAACATTTAAGGGTCGTAGGAGCCTTGGTGGCACAGTGGTTAAGCACTCGTCTACTAACCAAAAGGTCAGGAGCTCAGACTCAGGAGCTGCTCCATGGGAGAACGATGTGGCAGTCTGCTTCCATAACGGTTACAGCCTTGGAAACCCTATGCCTTATAGGGTCACTGTCAGTTGGAACCAACTCAACAGGTTTTTGTTTTTTTCGTGTGTGAAGGAAAAGAAGCCCAAGAAAAGGCAGGGAAGGAATGATCAATAAGACACAGAAAAACAGAAGCATATAATGGCACTGAATCCAAAAGAGCAGAGTCTGAAGGAGGGAGAAATCAACAGTGTCAAATGCAGCAGCAGAGTGAGGACTGAATAAGAGCCCAGAGGACCTAGCAATTACAGGTTTCAGGTAGCCTCAGAGTGGCCCAGTTTTGAACATAAAAGGTAGATTACAATGGATTCACGAGTCAGTAGAAAATGAGAGTTAAGTTTGAATAGGAAAGGAAGAAAGACAGCTTAGCAGCTGGAAGGATCCCGGGTAAGCAGATAGCATTTTTTGGACTTGAGTCTAAAGAGAAGGAATAAATAGAGAGGAAAAGGTAAAAGAGCAAGAGTTGAAGAAAGATAGAAGGGTCAGGGTCAAGGGCATGACTGGAGAAGTTGGGCTTGAACCGGAAGACAGCCCCTCTACTAAAATCAGAGGAGAGAGAATAATAATGGCAAGGCGGAGGATAAAACTATAGATGCACGAGAGGGCAGGAATTTGATAACGGAGCTCATTTCCCATAGCCAATTTTCTCATTATATGATTTTCACCAAATGTGACAAAAGAGGTGGTAAGCAAAAGTGATTCTTAGGACTAAATCCAATTTGAATGGTCACAAATAAGGGCATGCATGAAATTACAGAGTACTAGATTAGAGACAAAGCATGAGTTCCAAGCCATCAGTTTAGGGACAATGCGTGTTCAGTGTTATTTCACCAAAGCCAGTATAATATGTATTTTTGATCAGGCACTTTCACAACTAAGCACCAATAGTACCAAATGCGGCATGGCAAATGATCTAGAGATCAAGGGTTGGCAAACATTTTCTATAAAGGACCCCAGAGTAAATATTTTCAGCTTTGTGAATCATACAGTCTCTCTTATAGCAACTCAAAGAAAGCAACCACAGATAACACATAAGTCAATGGGCACAGCTGTGTGACAATAACATTTTATTTACAAAACCAGGCAACAAGTGGATTTGGCCTGTGGGGCTTAAGTTTGCTGACCCCTGATCTCTAGGATGAGGATACTACAAAGGAAACAAAGTGGTAGAAAGATGAGGGGCAATGGAATTAGGAAATGGAAGAGAAGCCACAGAAATGAAACACAGTTGTGTTGGAGTAATTAAGTGAAAGAGCAAAACATGAATGAAGAAACAATAAAGAAGTGTTGGACAGAGACAGGAGAGCATGTAGCAAAGGAGGAGAGCTAACAGGCAGACTCCAAGGTAAGCAGTGCAGAGACAGAGGCAGCTGATGCCCATACAGTAGATGGCAGACCAACAGAGGAAGCGACAGTGTCCAGATTTGTCCGCACTGGAATTCAACGAAAGGATAAAACACACACTGATTTTCCAGGAATAACCTGATGGTCTCTTCTAAGTATGTGTGTCAAAGGGACTCAGAGCTGACGAGATATAAAGTTATTTTTCATTTTGTCCACAAATCAAACTGGCACATGAATAACATTCAAGAGATCAAATAAAACTTATCCACAGTATCATAAGAAAATATCAATTATTTCTAAGCCTCTTTTACTCATTTACATATATCCACGAATAGGGCAACTTATAGCATTTACTGCAATCAATAAAGTTATTAGCATCAGGAACCAAAAGTCACATTGACTTTACTCACTATAAAACGTTTCACCAAAAATAAAGCTACAGATTTAAAAACAAAAAGAACCTTGAGTGATGTAATAATCTGCATATTCTTGAGGTTTTTTTTTTTTTATTTTTTTAATTTGGCTTTATTTGTGGGGAAATCCTTTAAGGTTAATGCAGATGAATTCTGAGAAACAGCTTAGCTAAACAACAAATCAGACCACATAACTTATGTCATCATAGTGCAATGTTTAAGAACATGCCTTGGGGTTAGAGAGAGCTGGGGTTGTGTCCTCACTTTTGCAAGTTAAACTTGTCTCAGTTTCCTCATCTATAACACATGGATAATAATTATACTCACTTCAGAAAGAAGCTGTGTTAATTAAATGAAAAAAAATGCATATAAAGTACTTTGCACAGGAGTCTGACATAGAATATGCATTCAAATTTTAGTGAATATTATCAACCTTAAGAATTTGACGGTAATATTACAGAAGAGACTTATGAGAAGCTAGAAGCTCAGAAAGGAAACAAATCCCTCCTCTTCTAGGAAGCTACAATATAATATTAGAATTTCAGTTATCACTCACACTATTCTTTAAAAAACTCAAATCCATCTGCCCATTTAAGATGTAGAAAAGAAGTATCAAACTGGTGCCAGCAGAAACTATTTGAGATAATCTCCAATTCTGAAACAGAAAGAGTACCATGAAGCAATGAAAGAAAGCACAAATCCTCAAGACCCACAGAAGAGAGCCACTGCTAGGAGCTCATCACGCCACGCCCGTCCCTGCCTGCACCTCAGCACCATGCCCCTGAAGTCGAAATTTCTTCCCAGGTGGCTAAACTGTGAACCTAGCATTAAACCCCACCCTCCTTTACTGAAGGGAACTAGAAATTTAAGTTGTTGCTTTGTGCCGCTGAGTCCATTCCAACTCATAGAGACACTATAGGACAGAGTAGAACTGCCCTGGAGGGTTTCCAAGGCTGTAATCTTTACAGGAGCAGATGGCTAGGTCTTTTCTCCCATGGAGCTGCTGGTGAGTTTGAACCACTGACCTTGTGATTAGTACTGTTAGTACCTGAGCGCTTAACCACTGCACCACCAGGGCTCCTTAGAAATCTAAGTCTTTAATAATATAATACAAATACAAAGGCAGTACTAAAAGCCTCAATTTTTATAATTAATAAACCATGCCAATTAATTATCCTCAAAAAGATTTCTCCATACTAACAGTATCTTCAAAATACTACATTTCTCTTATAAAGGGGACAGCTTCTACCAGGAAAGTCTAATGAACCTGTTTTAAGAGACCTGAAATTCTAAACACTAGTGTTGTTTTCAGGATGCTAAGCATTGGACACAATTGGGTAATTCACTATATCAGCACAATTTTTAAATTAAATACCTGAAAGTACTACCATATTGGATATCCTCACCAAGAAAAGTGTATTTTTATGTTTATAGGAAAACACATCCATCCCTTATGAGTGTACCAAAAGGTTTCGAAGATATCACTCCAATCTGCATTTTCTTGGCTTTCTACAATGAACCCAAATTTAAAAACATAATAATAAAAGTTTAAAGACATTAATTTTTGAAGAGTATCAAACAATGGGCTACCCAAATACCTCAAAGTATCATTTACTACTTTTCCAAATTTCAGAAATGCCAATTCACTTTAAAAAGAAAATTAAAAAACAAAGCATACTGTGAATGGCTGTTATCTAAATGGCCTGGTACTCATTTTTGTTGTGGTCAATATTTTTTCCAGCGTGCTAGGAAGTCCATAATTTACCTAAAATTTCATTTTTGCTTTTGGCTTATGACCCAAAGCCGGTTTTTAAATCTAAAATAGTGAAATATTTAACAGTATAAGTACAGATACAAATAATTCTATGCTCCCAGGCATAAACAAGATCAACTCCAGAGCTAACTACTAAAAAAGACCTATTTCCTTGTGCCAGCCACTCGAGGACTCATAGACAAAGAGTTGTGAATCAAAGACAGACATGTGAGAAGATGCAAAAACAGAACACTGCTTTCATCAGCATTTCAAAGCCGTTACAGAGTACCTAGCACTGCTAGCCTCTAAAAAAGCAAGCTAACTATGGTTGAGAACCTTGGTAAGGGGTCCCAGAGAAAAAGGCTTTAACTTTCTGGTGGTTTGTAATTTCCCATTAACAGTGCAGAATAATCAGCCCAAAACCAAAAGAGCTGTTGGTATAGATTTAATAATAAAAATCAGGTTGTGTAATTAATTACAATTTGCAGTAGAATTACGTATCTGACTATAGATTTTGGTTTAAAAAAATCATTTTAAGAATTTTAGAACCAAGTTCATAATCGCCCAGGAGAGCTTTCAACTTGTTATTGAACACTCAGCACTGCAGAGCATGTTCTCCAAATAAACCACAGCAATTCTCGTTATTTTCCTCCTCAATGAACACTTGAAATGGACTGTTTTAGTATAACTATAGAACCGCTTTTAAATTCTCAAAACACAGTCCCATGCTCTAAATTTTTTCTTTAAATATACATGTTTTACTTTAAAGACCAGAAGGCCCCTTCCAAGGGAGAAAGATAAAAGCAGTAAAAAAGACAGCACATTAATTCAAAATCAAAACCCAAAGAACTCTGCATTAGACAATCACTCTCCACCTATACCTCTAGGCTTTCTCTCTTGGCCCTGTGCTTTGATTTCTTTCTAGATATAGGCTCCCTTAGAAACTAAAGCACCGCAGACCAAATGGGACAACACATTTTCAGGTGAGTATAGTTAGTAGCATTCTTGACCATGAAACTTTAGAAAATCCTTTACAAACTACTTTTAACGGAACACAAATTTGGTTATTATTTATGCTACTAGAAGTACTAAGTAATTTTCCTCATAAATTTTAAATATTTTTTTAACAAAAAAATATTAAGAGTCTCACTTTTCTAAAAAATTTTCTTAATCACTTTATTCTAGGAAGCCTATGTTTAACAAAAACAGTTTATATGATGACCATGGAACCTTTGCTTGAGTAAATCTAATAAACCATGAGGCGTATTTAGTAAATCAAAACCCACCTCTTCTTGCGTAACTGGAGTCCATGTCTTTAAACTGTACCACAACAAAGTCTGAACACTTGAATAAAATACTCTCCATTATTTCTTCACGTTTTGGCCCCGAACTGGATTCTGTACTTTTCTCATGTGCAGCATCAAGTACCAAATCACACTAAAATTAAAAACACAATATTCAAAACACTTAAAAAATAAAATTCGATACGAATAATTTAGCACAGCAAGGTCTCTGTTATTTTTTATACATCTTTGGCAAAAGCAATCTATCTCAAGAGAGCCTGATAATCATACCCTTTTCTCAGAAAACTGATCTACTATTCATTCATCATTTAAATATCTCAAAGTTGGCCCTTGCTACCATATGTGTCTTAAGTACATTAATAGTGATAAAGGGGGGAAAAAATAAACTCACTCATTTCTCTTCTAGTTCACAATGCTTGAAAACGAACAAAATATTTTAATAATCACATAGATCACGTCTTTGATTACACAATTATCCCATACTCAGCTCACAACTCTAGACTGCTAAATCAGAAACTAATAGTCACTATTCAGAAAGCCATATAAATATACAGCACTTAATGATTCGTGGATTTTACACTAACAAAAAGGAAGAGTAAAAATTACCTTAGGACTGTATGTTTTAAAAACTCCTTCATATATACCTCCGTTTTTCACTTGTACTTCACATTTGGATCCCTAAAAACATACAATTACTTTATCAAAGAAACGGTAGTTACACAGTCACAGGGAATAACTGTTTTCATGTTAGCTTTTATAGCTCATCAGGCTTCACTCATTATATTACATATTCACTGAGAAAACTATAACAAATTTTTAGACATTAAAAATACATTGAACTCTCAAAGTTCTTCAGGGAGCTCTAAGAGTTTGCAGTACGAATTTAATACTGAAGTTAAACATTTCTGACCCCAGCTATACTAGGTGACAAGAAAATAATGCATTACAGAAGACCACCAACTCTATTATTCTGTACACAGGGTCAACAAGAATACTTTTACAGTAGGTTACAATAGCATGGATGAAGAGTGTTCTAGTCTATTTTTACTAAATCACCCTGATTAAACATAACCTAAGAAATGATTACTTTAAGAATCATTCATACACATTTTAACTTCATAAAATTACTTTTACTACTCCCAAGGCAGTTTATTCCCAATAACCTTATCACTTACAACAACTGACGTAAGTATATGAACCATCCTCATATTTGCATAGATTCCATCAAATGAAATCTGGAATATAAAAAGACATTATCAGAAATCAGAATTTATACTTGTATATATATGGAAGTTAATATTTATTTTGTTAGAAAACTTTTAGATAAGTTTACAATACCTCACAGATATTAAAAGGAGATTTGGTTCACTATAATCTTTTGCTTCCTTAGAAAATAGCAGTTCAAGTTCTCAAAAGTGAAATCAGTCATTATCAACTAACAGAATTTGACTATAAAGGCAAAACAAAACTTCTAGAAACGCAAAGACAAAACCACAGGGAAAGAAGAGGATCAATGGTCGCTAGAGAGTAGGGGGAGGGGTGACTATAAAGTGTCATGAGGGGTTTTAGGGGCACAGAATTGTTCTATTATCTTGATTGTGGTAGTGGTTACATCATTGCATGCACTTGTCAAAACTCACCGATCTATACACTAAAAAGGGTGATGGGGAAGGGTGGTGGTATCACCTTCCAAGACTACTTCCTCCCAGTATACCTGAATCAATAATAGTGCTCAAAGGTCTGATCAACCACACCACTCCGTATTACGTATTACATATTATGTAAGTGCATGACCTCCCAATTCTTATGAAGACAATCTGTCCAAACAATGCAAAGTCTCAAAAACAGTGAAAGCTTCTCACTTCTTTCTTCTATTATGTGAAACTTACACCTTCTGCCCTTCATGCCCAGTATAATTTCAATGATAAAGTTTCAAAATGTAAGACCAGACAGCCCTTTCCAAGGGAGAAAGACAGAAAGAGAAAAGCAATGAAAAATATAGCACATTATTTCCAAATCAAAACCCCAGAGAACCCTGCAAACTCTAGTCCTGATGTTCTACTTATCTTTGGGGGGATTACTCACTTAGATTTATTTAAAATTTTTATATTATGCATGATAAAATACTATTTATAGATATTTTTACATTTTATACAGAATCATCATAAAAAAACCATACATATAACTAATAATTTTATAGTAAACTATATTGATCTATAAAGGTTTCTGAGTTACACAATTCAAGAGATTTTTTTCTTTTTTTGCCTTGGCTTTTGGTCTATGGTTAGAAATCATGTTTTAGTTACCATTTTTTCCAAAGAAATAACATTTAAGTTACTCACCGCAGATTGAGGCAGTCCTTTGCTACTGTTTCGACCTCTGAAAAGATTAAATATTATGTTTATTAAATTCAACAGGTTAAACAAGCTAGAATATTTTTTCAAAAATTTAAATATCATATAATTCCATTCAAATAAAGGACAGGCCATGGGTGAGGAGGGCTCCTCTAATATTAAGTCTCAAAGCTAGCTAAGTATGCCTCTTATCTGTGCTCTGCTGGCTCAGAGGCCCAGGGGAAGGAGGAAGAAGGACATAAGAATGAAACTTTATCAAAATGAAATAAATGAAGTAAAAATAAAAATAGCCTATACCAGAAGATAAAACTAACCCTAAACATGAATTAATGGTAATCTTTATTCCAAAAGTAACCAATCACTCTGTCATAAAGAGCTACCTAAGAATAAACTATAAATTCTATTTCTGATTTAACCAACACATTTGACTGACACTAAGGCACCTGCCATCCTTCTTCTCTGCTTCTAAAAATGCTAATGTGCTTACAAGTGCAGAAAAACATCAGAAAATAAGTTACATAATTCAAAGCACTTTCACTGCTAAACAGTAAGTGCCTCTGTCAGGATCTACATAACAAGTACCTTTCCCTGTCAACTCTCTCCCCCTAGAACCAATGGAGTAACCAAAGTCAGCTGTCTAGTAATTTTCAGTAAGGTGGATTCTATTTTCAAATGAATTTAATTACAGAACATAATGCAACTTAACAAGGCTTGTTCCACTGGCAAAGATTAGATCTCTTAGAAATCATAAAAACATTAGTAAAGAAAACTATTACATTTCTCATGAACATTAACTACTGTAGAATAATATGACTGAAATCTCATTTTAATAAAATAATCACAACACTCAAAGTAAGCCTCTCTGTATCCAGAACTGCTACAATGCATTATCTAAAATGTCTAGTTTCCAACAAATTACCAGACATACTAAGAAATAGGAAAGTATGATGCAGACACTGGTAAAAAAGTAGGCAACAGAAACTAACTTTGAGAGTGACTAGATGTAAGATTTAACAGACTTCAAAGTAATTGTTATAAATATACTCAAAGAACAAAAGGAAACCATGATTAAAGAATTAAGTAAGGTATGATGACAACGCCACATAAAATAGACAATATCAATAAAAAGATAGAAATTATAAAAAAGAACCAAGTGGATATTCTGGAGTGGAAAAGTACAATAACTGAAAAGGAAAAATTCACTAGATAGACTCAACAGTAGCTATGAACTAACAGGAGAAAGAATTTGAAAACTTGAAAATAAACAGAGATTATGCAATTCAAAGAAGAGGGAGAAAAAAGAATGAAGAAAAATGTACAGAACCTCAGAGAAATGTGGGACACCATCAAGTGTACCAACATATGTGTAATGGGAGTACCAGAAGGAAAGGAAAGAGATAAACAAATAGAAAACATATTCAAAGAAATAATGACTGAAAACTTTCCAAATGTATTGAAAGAAATTAGTCAACACATCGAGGAAGATGTATGAATTCCAAGTAGGATAAAAAAAATAGTAATTCCCCAATAGTCACATCATCATAAAAATACGAACAGCCAAACACTGGGAGAAAATCTTGAAACCAGTAAGAGAAAAACAACTGTGACCTACAAGGGAACTCCAATAACATTAACAGCCTGCTTCTTATCAGAAACAATGGAAGCCAGAAGATAACAGGATAATATATTCAAGGTGCTCAAAGAAAATAATCATCAATCAAGAATCCTATATCCAGCTGCTGAGGCTGCTTATGTACAACGAAACACCTCATGGAATCTGGTTCCTTGATTTGGAGGTTTAGGGTCATGGTTTCATGGGACATCCCAGTTAACCAGTTAACTGGCCTAATAACATGTTTAGTGCTTCTGTTCTGCCTCTTAATTCGTTGAATAGTGCCTGGGATCTTAAAAGCTTTCAAGCAGCCATCCAAGGCACAACAATTGGTCTCTATCTGCCTGGAGCAAAACCGAGGGAGAGCTGGGAACAGGAGGACGAAATGGAACGTGCGGCTAACTGCCTCCATGATCAAATGTCTCCTTGGCCATGAGACCAGAAGAACTGGATGGTGCCATTACTGAATATTTTGATCAAAGATTCTATATAAGAATTCTGATCAAAAGGGGAAAAATACAGAATTTCAAATTTTCATGGACTCTAGACCTTCTGGAGTCATGGAGGCTGGATGAATCCCCAAAACTATTGCCCTGAGATGATCTTTAAACCTTAAACCAAAAATATCGCCTGAAGTCATCTTAAAACTGAGCAGTAGTTTAGCTTAGCTAGTAATAAAGGTCTGCCTTGAGCATAATGCTCTTTTTTTTTTCTATTTATGAAATCTTTATTTTTTATTTTTTTTTTTAATATTTTATTGTACTTCAGGTGAA